TAATATTTTGTTTTTGTTTGCTTTCTAAATATTTTTAATTTCCTTGTTTCGTTCAAAACCTAAGCATCACGAATCCTTTTTTGTTCATTATCCTTGACAACGACGGCAATAAGTTGCATGTCCTTCGATTCGTACTAAGGCGAATACGTGTGTTATTGTTTTTGTTCAATAATTTTAAATTCTTCCGCAGACTTATTAGCCAAAATTTTATGTCGTTTCTTTAATGTTGACCTTTTCTCAAAGATTACAATCTGAAATTCAGTTCGCATCCACTCTTAATAAATAGCTGAGACTGAGAATCTGCAAATTTGTTTTAGAGAAAATTCTTGCATTAAATCTACGACCTATGCAATAAACCTTACTTAGGCGATGAGTGCGTTTCATTCGCCCTGAGACGAAAATAATAAATTAGCAACGAGGAAATTTATTAGACACCTTTTGCTGCCTTTATCGCTTGCGACAGGAAGATAAAGAATATTGCAATTTCTGTCTCGCCAATGTAATACCTTTCTTATCGATATTTCAAATTTGATTTAATGTATAGTTCCGTTTATTTTATATTAACCTAATCGAAAATCGCGCAAGAGATTTACAATTGTTTATAAATTTAAAATTAAGTTAATATTTACAAAAATTTTATTCATCTTATTGCCCATAATAATAAATAATACGTTGTATTATAAATTTTTTATTAAAAAAAAAAAAACAAAAAAATTTCGAAGCAATATTCAATATATTTCTAAAGAGTTTTTAAAAAGTTAAACCTCATTCAACGTAGAATTCTATTGTTAACTGATGCAACTGGCAGTGAGTGTGTTCATATTTATTTTTTCAAAAGCTTCCATAAGAGCAGTCATTCGAGGCGGGTCGTAGTTTTTGTATTGTTCTTTTCTTTCAATTTTTCATTGAACAAATTTCTTACCCACCACCATAGGCGGAAAATGACGTTTAAAACACTCATAATACCTCAATCTGAAATAATTTCGTAAGTCCGTACGTACGCTTGAAGTTGTAAACTCTGAAAGTATAGAAATTCGAATGTATGTTTCATGCTTGACGCGGGTCCGAGGATGAATTCCAATTGCGAGTAACACGATCTAGCGGATACAGTTATTTTGTTTATCGTCAGCATTACAGAAAAAGCGGAGCATGCTTTTTATTTATTTGTAATGTGCTGGAGTGATTATAAAGTATACCGTGTATTAGCTTGGATAGCTTCAGCTATGTGTTTGTCTGTTACATTTATGATTTAAGAAATAAATTTTTTCAGAAATTTTTTCTCACTGCCATCAAGGACGAGAATTAGCAAAATCAGTCCGATCCGCATATTTATTGAGAAAGTACTGCTGCTCAGGATGTTTCAAAAAGTATTAGTGTTATTTTCCCGCTCTTTTTATGAGCCTTGCTTTATCTTGAACTCAAGTATCGTCCTAAAGTTTTTTAACCATGGATAACATAAATGGATCGTTGAGGACATTTTTCAATACAAACTATAGTAGCGAGAATGAAAAAGCCACTCTTTTGAGGTATGTTTTTTTTAATTTTTCTATTTGTGCATCGAGACTACCGGAGGAAAGCAGCAGGTTTTGCGTTTCTTTTATTAAACTTAGAAGTAGTCTTGAAAGTCCTCACAATGTCAGCATATTTGATTAACCTACCACCGTGATTCAACTTGCATGTCTTCGCTCCTTTTTTATAAATTGATCTCTCTCTCTCTCTCTCTCTCTCTCGCTCTCCCTCTCTGGACAATCAAAAAAGGATGAAAACAGAAAACTGAAATGTTTCTTTTTTTAGAGTTTATGGTCGCAGACTGATTTTGAAATGTGTGTGTGAGAACAGTGCTTACAGTAGTGACTGTAGCATATAGTCGCAAAAATTTTTTACGAAACGTCTGAAACTTTAATAAATGAATTGGCGTGACGAAGCGACAAACTATTGCATAATATTCGTCTAAGATCTGTTATAATTATTTCGCAAGTATTAAAGACTCGCTCGAAGGCGAAGTTTTTCCTTTGAAAAATTAAAATTGTTTTTTAAAACAAATTCGCAAAAAATTGTTCTAAAAATTCCGAATTTATTTTTAATAGTTTTCAAATCTTTTTTTTTTTTTGCGAAATATTTTTTATGAATAACGAAAAGCAAACAGTTGGTCCAACACTTTTGCTATTAGTTATAAGAAGAAATTATTGCTACAAGCATTTGAGCATTTGTCTAAAGCCCTATTATGAGAAACACCATTACGCCCTCTTTTGTAGTTTTCTTGGCTTAAGAATTTTGTTTTATGACAAAATTGATAGGTAAGAGTTGTACTGTGGTGCTTGCTTCGCAATATTAAACCGGGTGCAAAGTCTTAAAATCGGTGAAAAAGAAAACAAATTTTCTATTATGACTGCGAGTGATCGATTGCAGTAGCAATTTACTAACGCCTAACAGCTCGGCTAATAGACAGACTATATGTAAACGACATGAAACTATATTATCATTTATCATGGAGCTTTGATTCCGGTTGATACTCTAATTCTTTTTAGGTTTCTGTTGCACGATATGGAACATAAACAGATGAATGAAAGAAATATTAACCAAATTGCAAAAGAGAGATTTTTAGATCGGCAATGGTTTTATAAAAGCCTTAAACCATACTAATATAAAATTTATACAGTTTGTGTGACTTCTTTACCCACCACGTTAGATTATAAGATTAATTTTAATTAAAACAAAATCCAATGATGGCTCGGTAATAAAAACGAACTTTAGGGTTTTTTAACTTGATTTGCTTTGCAACCAAGGGTATTGTAGTCATCTGTTTGTCCTTTAATGAAGGCTTAAAGTCTCAAAATTGTTGCAAATTGCATTGCATCCGAAATACCGAAAATATCGAAAGGTCTTTGACAATATATTCAATGACTTGCAGAACAGAACATATCTGTCTGAGATTTGATGTAAACAATTATCAAAATGATGTACAATGTATATTTTGTAAAAAGTATATCAATCAAATGACGTTCATACCATTGATTGTATATAAAGTTAGTTTGCGATGGTGGGTATATTGGGATTCACTTCAAAGCGAATGTAAGTTTCGCATTATTTATATAAAGTTTTTCCTTACTTCTTTTTATAAAAACTAACCATTTTTATTTACGCTTAGCCAGGACTTTTAATACTGAAATTATACAATTAGTTTATTTAGTTAAGTGGCGTTTATTTTATTTATTATTTATAAAAGTTTAAGGTAGACTTAATATTAAGGAACTAGTTACCGTCTTTATTATTCATTAAATTTTGCTTAACTTTTCTTTTTAACCAATGAAAATTAAAAGCAATAAAAATAAGAAGATACGATATAAGACCAAATAATCCAATAACTTTTTTAATTGCCAAACTTTTTTTAATCAATTTTAACGGTAATAATTTCCTTCTCGTATGCATTTTTACAATATTTACACTTTAAGAACTAAAAAATACTTAAAATTAATACTTGATGTACTTATATTGTTCAGCATTGTTCAATATTATTGCACCCGCCACCGACCGACGGGCTGTATGCTCTATTTATTAGTCAATTCTTAACCACTCGTTTGTTCTCATCGGAATTACGCAATGGAGGTGTAGATGCATAAGTTCATATGAACTATGAGTTATATAAATGACACATATTTATGATCTGGTCAAGTTTCAAAGTCGATTTACTCAGTGACGCAAGCTTAGCACAAACTCTTAGACCATGTTTGAACTTGGTTGAAAGAAAATAGTCGAAATTGTATAAAAGAAACTATAGTTCGATATTGGTCAACAATTTGATATTTGTGATTTCTAGAAGAAATGTCTCGATAAAATAACTCATACTATTTCAACTAACAAAAAGCCTTTGTGGTATTTGTGATCTGCTTCAGGTGGTGGGTATACAAACTTCGCTTCAAGGCGAATATAAATAACTTTCTTACTTGTTTAATTATTTTGTTTTATTCATGAAGTTTTGATTTATTTTTAAATTTATGTTGACTCTATCTTAATTTTTTTTTTTTTACATTCTGTTTAAAATAATTTAAAGATACTTTACACATATTTTTATGAAATTTTAACTTACTTCAACTTATACCTTTGGCCTTTTTTATGGGAATAGTCAGTGTCACAAAAACTGAAATGGAATAATAGAATAGAAATTTCTATAATTCAATTTATTAAAAGTTTTGGCCGTAGGGAAAATATCTTATATTTTTTTACACACGTTTTCCAATTTTTCCCACGCAAAAATTATGAAATTATTATATTACTGAAAAATTTTTTCGTAAGACTAAAGCATAATAAAAACTTGAAATGATAAAACACTGTTTACTCTCTCTAGACAATGTGTTAAACACCAAAAATTAAAATGTTATGGCAAAACCGATATTTTATATGTTATGACCTGGTTCGATACCATTCTTTTCATTTACTTCCGTCATAAGGGGCAGAAAATAATGTTTTGTCGTCATATTTCTTAAGCTTATTTTCGCAAAAGCCGCTATAAGGGGAAAGATACAAAAAAGACCTAAGTATTATATATAAATAAAATTTTGTCGTCATATAAAGGCTTAATATTGTGAAGGAAGGACGTGGCAACGAGTCTATAAATAGTTCCATATTATCCAAATTTTATATATTCACTTCATGAGCGGAAATACTATTTTTGAGTGGTGTTTAGCGAGAAATATGCAAAGGTAAACAAAAGAAAAATTAAAAAGACAAGTTTTTCAAAATATGCCGTCATAAAGGAAGTGCTTGTGAAAACTACATGACTTAATCTTTTTTTAATAGCGTTGTTTCGAATTCGTTAAAATATTTGGAAAACTGCGACTGTAGGTTGAGTCAAAAAATTCCAGGACGGATATCAAAGAGACAGTCACTCTACAACCTATTTAGAAAATGATTCTCAAGCAAATGATATATATAATCGGCCACTCTCCTTACAAATTGTTATTTTGAAAAAAACTTGATATATTTCTTATTGTTCCAAAAAAAAAAAAAAAAAAAACAGAGACAATGCAAGGTTTTAGAAAATGAGAAAAATTTAAATGGGATGGGACAATTGTTTGAACCCACTGCCCCGGCCATGTTTTTGTAAAAATAAACTTCAATGATCCAATCCAAGATACAAGTTATAGCATTTTGTAATGGAGATTAGTCTACTCGATTCATATACAAATTTACCGTGCTAAATTTGGGCCAAGTTGGTCTACTTTCTTAGTTCGCCCTCCATGCAAGCCCATGAGAATTGCGCTTGGGTTTGGCCAAGTGGCTTCAGCAAAGTGGCATAGGTACCTATTTATTGGCGTTGCCTGCCTGCAGTTATAATTATTTTGCGTTACTTATGGCACAGAACACCTCGATAGATAATGCGAGAAATTATATTTGATTTTGCTAGATTGTGGGAGATTTATAACGCAGTCGAGTTTCAAATAAATGAATATTGTTTGCCCTGTGTTTCACAAAGTCGTTATTACTTAGGCGCACTATGGCTCATCAAATGTCTTTTCTTCACCTTAGTTAGTAGATAAAATTCTCTGGATATTACAGGAAAGCTACGTATATAATTTTCGTTGCCTCTGACTTAATTTCAATTCTGAACTGTCAATATCGGTAGTAAAAATTGCTTTATACGCTTGAGTTTATGCGGCCATTGATAGAGCAACAATTAACAGACATAACTGATGCATACTTCTTCAAGTTATGTTAGTTAAGCATCATGACAAACAAGAGGTTCCTTTTAACGTCGTACGTAATATAACTATTAGAAAATTTGGCGAATGGTTTGAAAGTTCGAGCTTCTACCAAAACATTGATTTGATAGGAACGAAAGTTTCGAATTTGGATTATTTGCGCCTTTTTAATTTATGCTTTTCATATCTACCGCTTTAAGGCGTCTTAATAAACGTCATCGAGTGAGGGGCACTTTGCAAATTGACCGCATTTCTTTTTTACTTTTTCTTGCAAGGAAATCGATTCAAGTAAATATTGAAGATTATCAAAACTATCAAAGTTTTCATAATTGTCTCAAACAGACAGTCGGTGTCTTAATTTCATGGAAGCTCCTAGCAGAAACGGAAGAACACAAAAAAACATTGCTTTTGTAGGTGAATTTATAAGATCGAAACTGAACGGTAGCTATTAAAAGATGGATTTAAGAAACTTTTAAATTAAACGGTTCATATAAAATAATAAAGCTTTAAACTTTCGTAATTCCAAAGGATCGAATAAAAATGCATAATAACCTAATCGCTTCATAGATACGACTCGGAAGAAGCCATGTGAATCGTGAAGTGGAAAGTATTCGAATCAGATTGAACATAACCTCACTTTTGCTATATCATTTATATATGTCGATTTTTAATTTGTTTGTTTTAGTTTTAGCTTTTCTTTTTTTTTTGTTTAGTTTCACTCTTCTTCGTTTTATTTTATATAATTGTACGTTTCGTATTTTTTTTTCAACCTTTAACACAAAAAGTAGTAACATTTAACAGAAATTTATTTATTTTTCTTAAAAAATATTTAATATGTGTATAATTTTCTTTTTTCTTTTCAACACTTACAACCACTACAACGTTTTTTTTGTCGAATTTATATTTTTATTATACTTATCATTATCATTATTACAATACTATTATTTTGTTTTCGCACACGTGAAGATTCAAGTAATTCACAACTCACACGCTAATGCTGTTTCCTGTCGTATTTCTTCACCTTTTTTTTTTTCTTTGCCATCTTACATATAAATTTCGTATAAATATTTAGGCTAAAGTTTTCGTATATGTGTGTTTATGTATGTGTGTAATTAAACAGTGTTTGCTTGTATATATAATTGTATACATATTAAGAAGTTGCAACATTCATCAATAAGTTTTTTTTTCTTTCTTGTTTTTAACATCAGCAGCGATTCAATAATAATTGAGCCATGAAAGCCATTAGATGAGCATTTAAAGACACGTTTGCATCAGTATTAGTAAAATTAGTAACAATGGAAGGCGTTGAATCGTTACGATTTGCAGATGATGCAATTTGTGTTGTTGTTGTTGCTTCTGTTGATGTGGCATTCTTCTGAAATACGTTATAGTATTGTATAACAGCAGTCATCAATAATCTTTGATCCTTCGAAATAGAGTTGGCGTTATTGCTTTTAGATGCTTTCTCATCGCTATCAATAATATCAACATCATCAGTTGGAAGTGTAAGAGCGGCAGCAGTAGCAGTTGTCGAAGCAGGATTGGTTAGTGTTGCATAACTATCATCATCAACAGTGTAATCATCGCTCTGTCGTTTGCTTGTGTCTATAAGCAGTGAAGAAATTAAGGTTGTAATTGTGACGGTAGTAGAAGTAGCAGCAGCAGCGGCGATAGCAAATGTTTGTGACAGTTGTTGGCAATCAATGTTCACCGTGTTAATAACAGCTTTGAGTGCAGTTTTTAGTTTGCAAGCAAACTCATTGATGACATTTTGATTTGCCACTAAACTAACTTGTCGATAAGTTTGCTGATTTTCTTTCGAATGTGTTTGCCGATGACGACTACGACGATTGCTATTCTGCAGTTTTTCATAGGTTGTTCTTGTTTTTCGATAATCGCTTTGTTGAGTGATTTCTTTGGATTTGTGCATTTCGTGTAAATTCGCTAAAACCCCCCGCATAATGACTATGATCATTGTAATCGTCAATGGATACCAAATGCTTTTTGTTACCAACATTATCATCATCATTATCATGTCGCTTAGATTAATGACAAATGTCGTTAACATTTGATGAGCTTTTGTTGAATGTGTCAATAGTGTATAAAATTTATTGCAAATTTGTTGCGCATGCTGTTGGAGGTAGTTTTTATAAAAGTTCGTCGTAACAAGTGTAGCAGAAGCAGTAGCCGAGGAACTAATATCAGCAGCTGTAATGGGAATCAAATTAAATTAAGTTTTGTTTTTTCTCCATTTTTCTTGTTTTGAAAATTTTTGGGAAAGTAATGGATGTTTTTTCTTGTTTTATTCATTTGAAGAAAAATTGGTAAAGCATTTAATAAAATGAACGAAATATTTCATGAAATTTTTTTAATCTCCTAAATTTAACGCTACACAAAAAACTTGAGGGAATTGGTTAAGGTTCAATTTATAACGGGATTTGTGATTTTGTTTCTCGATTTCGTCTTCCTTTTTTAGAAAGGATGGGTGTAAAGCAAACTTTTTGCTTGAAACACGTTACATCGTTGATTGATACAGTTTGATATAATCGATTTGTGTCTTTTCCCGCCTTTTTACAGGCTTGACGTACTTCGCATGATTGATTGGTTTGTTGGTTGTCAGAGTTGGTCAGCTGGATGGTTGTCGGGCTTTAATAGTGATTTTATCTTTGGTTGAATAACGAATATGTTAATTGTTTTTACACTAGATTTTGGGTTTTCGATTTCCCTTTTTTGTAGATTATCTGTTAGCGAATGGTTGAGGTGCTATTTGCAGCGATTTTTTGTCTCGTTTGTTGGTTTGATTACTCTGCTGCACAGTGACTCGGCAGGTTCATTGAATTTTACTCAAGTTATTAAGGAAATGCTCTATATCCGTTGGCTCCTTGATGGCTAGGAGTATAAAGGTTGATTATATGATTTTTACAGAGGACAATTTATGAAATTTGGAACCAACCTATGTGTGCAATATAGAGAAGAATTCAATTCAAGCTGCGCTTTCAAAGAATTTTATTGCATGCAGAAGTGACAAGTGACTGAGTTGGGTTTGATTCTTTCATTCAATTTAAGCTTGGATGAAAACTTATATCAAAATCAGAACGATAAAGGGTTTTTGAACTTCTTAATTTTTCCGAAGAAGTTTCAATTTTTTGAAACGTTGTTTATTGTCCGTACAAACTTAATATACCCGGTACCACAATCGGTGTTGAGCATAAAGAGACAGGGTATGCAGGGACTCCAATAAAGTGATTAGGTTATAAATATCATGTAGATATTTATAGAAGAATTTAAGTGGATTAAATAGCTCATAATTGAATTTATATTGGCAAAGTTTTTGAAATAATATAAATAATAAAACCAGCGAGCCAATACCATTGGTAAAAATCAATTTTATTTAAAATGAAAATGCTGAGACTAAACCTGCGGCTGCATAGCGTGGGTAAGGCTGTAAGCATAATCTATTTTCGTACAATATTAAAGGTTTACATTAACATGGCAATGATAAGGGGGCGATTATATAATGGAACCATCGTAGATGTCACTAAGCTTCGATATAGCTCCTTTCTGTTGTACGGGCTGTAAAATTGTTTGACGCGCCATCTAATAAAGCCTAGCGCTAATCTGGGTGTACTCAAGTATGTGAATTCAAGGCGAACATATATAAATTTACTAATGTCTACCTAATTGGCTGAGAGTATTAGAAGAAAGAGCAATTGTGTCCAAATATGAATTGTGTGAATCAAATTCGGCTTGAAAATGAGAGATTCTTACGACTCCTTTAATTTAAAATCATAAAATTGAATGCGCATCACGCACGTTATTTAAATGTCTAAAACAATTTGATAGAGACATGGGGAAGTATGTGAGCTAAAGAAAGAGAATAGCTTGGCTCAATAGCGGACGGAAGATCCGTAACAGTTAGGACAAATAGAATATTTTCTAATTTACTGCTTCTTAATATAATTGCAATGAATTGAAATACACCTTGAAAGATCTATCGGAGAGGTTGGACGATAATCAATTAAGTAAGCTCGAGGGAATGTTTACGCGGCAAAAAAAAAAAAAAAAATTTGTGGTAAATTCTCTCCCCCGAAGACTTCATTAAAATCGCATATAATATGATGAAATTTTTCACGTTTAGTTTACGAAATCGGCCTCGCCTCCGCAAAGTTGCAGGTGATTATAATTTTCTTTTCATTTTTTTTAAGTTTTACGCTTATTTATCATAAGGCGAACAAGACGGTATATTTAAAACTATTTTGTACATTCCTCAAATGAAGATAAATTATCTGCCAAAAATGTGTTAATTGTAAAATAGATATGGTAGACACCGCGATCTGGTGGAGTAATTTTTTTCTTAGTAATACGAGCGATATGAGTATCAAGTAAAAGAACTTGGACAGTACAATGCGAAAAGCACAGTGGTTGGTATGCGAGATTGGGATCCGGTTGAATATACTTTTCTTACTAGTTCAATTTCATCTTTGTGTTAAACTAGGCTAGATGCAGACTATAACAAAGGAGAGGAATCTGACAGAAAAAGTGTTTCAGGGGGTTTTACGCAGGTATCTGCATTAATTAATTTAACCCTGCGGTGCCCGCTGGCACATGGAGTGAGAATACGTCACTCACGCCCCGCAGGGAACAGGAAGGCTCTCTGCAATTCCAGATCAAAGGCATGTGTATGGCATGCCCTTCCTTCTGGCGGAGGCGAGGCCTATCTTACACCTCAAATATTTAGTGTTGCCGCGATTTTTGGGGCAACCACAGCCACCACGAAACTCCCCTAAGGGCCGTCCCAGCAGTGGAATCTGACAATTGGATCGGCATCATGAACACGTTTCGAGCTTTCACCTTAATTTTTAGAATTTAAGGGGGCATATGAGCTTTCTTTTGCATGCAGCCTAATGGCAATTAGAGTATACTTTCTTTTATGGATAATGTGGAAGTCAGAAAATGTTTTCAACTTTAGAATCAACTTTTGCGCCAAGTGTGTATATGGTCTTGTTAAATATTTTTGCAATGTTCTTAGAACACACTAGTGAGTTATTGATAATGAGGTTACAAAAGATTGCTTTCAAGCGTATAATGTCTATCCGAACGTCGAAATTGTTCTGAGAACTTTGATGCATATGCTATATACATTTCAGCGCAATACCGTACAATGTTAAGCTTGAAGATAGCACTCCTGAATGGAGATATAGGGCTGACATCCTCATTTAATACTGCATATTACTCATTCAGCTTTCGCTTTGAAAAGATTAAGAACCTATTCGACATTTAACGGAGAAAATTATGATTATGCCAAACAATGTTGTAAATCAGCAGCAGATCATTTTTTTTTTTTTTGGTACTGTTTAAGTTATGTTCTAACTATGTAACTACGCTACATCATTTAATAAAAACACTTTGCAATAAAATCATGGGCTGATTGTGTTAAAGCAAACTGAATCTGCTTTTATTTGACTAGTTCATGCCCTTGAAATTATTTCAAAAGTTTACGTAACTTGTACGATAACACAATAAGGAATGAAAAAAATAGTTTTCTCTTTTCCAAAGTTGATGAGCATATTGAACTTAAACTCATTTTAGGTGAATCCGTAAAGTATTAGGCCATATTGAAAAATTCGAGGGTTACGAGCTTCCTTTTGCAGCCTGTTCTTTTCAAATCATTCCAAGCTGTCATGTGGTTCACGTTTAGTGCATTCGCTATTTATTGACAGCCTGCTTCACCGACTTGTTTAGTGACTGCGACGTGCATTTTCGGAACTCTGGAACAAAATCGAGCAAATCACTCCTGGGTGCTTCGTTCATTCAAAATAATTCCACTGAACACTTCACAAATTTTTCGAAAAGTTTTTGCACGTTGAGTTCAAAGCACCTCCAAAACCATAAGGCATCCGTGCAAACGGTCAGGCTCATTGTTGATGATGTGAGAAGCATTTTGATTTCTTGTTTTCTTATAATACTTACCTGAATAGTACGTCAGATATGATTCATTGTGATCCTCATAACCGCCTTCACCGTGACCATGCGGATCGTAGGGATAATTGTGCACATCGTATGATCGTCCGGATGCCATAATACGTGGTCGATCTTCTTCGATAATACTTTCAATTTCTTCTTTAAATATATCAAAAATGATTGCGGTGCATTTCAACTGAAAACAATAGAATTTCTTGAGCATAGAATTTTCTTTCTTCAGTGAATCTTAACAAACTTACACGCATTTGTCCTTTCACAAAATGCTGTGTGGTAACCATAAAATGTACCGCACTCATAACTGATTCCAAATTGTTGTCATCATATTTTTCTATTTGATAGGTTTTAATATGATGGGGCGGTACCTGGAGTAGGAAAGACAGATTTTCAAAAGAAATTTTTCAAAATCCTTTTTTTTGTTCGTTCAAGTTAAGCAAACATGTTTTTATTTCACTCGATTTGTTTTTACACTTTATAGAAATGAATTCAAGAATGTTTACTTGCAGTGTTCGAAAAATGAGGGAATTTTTCATTTTAAAAGCACGCCTCTTCCGAATACAGATGTACATATTCTGTCATAGTTCACTGGAATATTTCATTAACTTTCATCTCATTCGGTTTGCAAATTTATTATTTAAAGTAGTTTTGTAATCGTGATGCCGGCAAATTTTCAAAATGATATGAGAGAAAATGAATTTGCAATTGAATTATTTTACTTAAATTACTTAAAATGTCAAGAAATTGTTGCGACAATGGAAAAAAGCCAAAACCAAGGTTTAATAGAAGGGTATAAAAACTTTAAAGAGTCTGGAAAGACTTATGAGGATATCAACAAAATGAAGAATTTTTAATTCAACAACCGCTGAGTAAGTATTAAAGGACTTGCTCATATCCATGGGAATTATATTATTTGCACTTATTTAATAAATTTAAAAATTAAATTTGCGGTTGTCTCGTAAGATTGTCTTCTTTCGAAACAACTTAATTTCTGTGAAAATTAATATTATGTCCTGTAGAGATGCTGCCTACAAGTGACTGTGATGTAAGAAGAAACGTAGCTACTGATGACAAGACATAGGTTCATGCTTACAATCCACAATATTGCGTTAAAGGCGACACAACAAGTTGACAGTCGTTCTTTCGATTATCGTAATGTTATTTGAAAGGAGCGGCTTCTAAAAGGGGCCACGCAATAACTAAAGAAAATTATCAAAGTCTCTAGCGTCGTTTACGTGAACCTATTCTTAAAAAATATCCATTTGTGTGCAAAACAGTTAAAGGTAAGGCACGTATTTTATGCTAGAAGCTTATAATGACCCAAAATATATTTGTACAAAGTGTTAGTTGAGAATCTGCTATGGGTGATAAATTCAGATCTTTTACTTACTTTAAACATTTCTAGGCTAATTGCATTTGACCTATTAAGCCAAATGAGTTTTACAGGTAAGAATTGCAAGAACAAATAGAAGGATGGACAGGTAGTTTAAATAAGGTTAAGAATATATGTTTATTTTAAAAAAAAGTTTGCGCAGGAGCGTTTGTATGGGAAGGAGCACAAAAAATTATCTTATTTGATCCAACTTTTGTGTATCAAAATGACACAATTCAGCGATTTTTATTGAAAAATTGTGATAACTACAAACTTTTTTTAATATAAGGACAATAAAAGCGATCGTGGCGATGGTCCGATCCAATTCATTTCAAGTAGGTTTTGTCTTCGATCCAAGGCAAAGTCGTGTTTTCTCGAAACATCCCAAAAATTGAAATCTGCGGATTCAGCACGTAAATATAATATATTGTTACGGAATTCCCAAATCTAGTTGATTCCAGCTAAGGCATTTTTTAAAACAATAAATTCCTTAAATAGAAAAGAATTCAAATGTACATTTGCGAGGCGTCATGCAGCTGCAGACCGATGAAAACGCTTATCGGAAAAGCAGACAGGTAAGAACAAAGTGCATATCCGCAGGCATGTCATGCAGCTGCAGACCGATGAAAACGGTTACCAACAAAAGCAGGTTAACGAGTTAAGAATCAAGTCATAAAATTAGGTACTAGTAATATGATGACAAAAATGTATATAAATAGAATATTTGTGAAAGACAGTAAAGTAGAAAAAGAATATTTATGTTAAGCAGTCGAATTGCCAAAAATAATTTGTAAATAATCCCACATTTAAAAGAAATATAATTGTAAATAAAAGAACTTTGAAGTGTATTTCTCTTGAATAAAATATCCGCGATCCAGTGATACGGACTGTATCTTATAAAAGCGAATTTAATAACAACTGGTGTCAGAAGTGAGATCGTGGATGGTGAAGTTAGAAGAACTCAAAGTGGATCAGCTCAAACATGAGCTGGGAAAAAGAATCCTTCGTACAACCGGTACCAAATATGAATTAAAACAAAGGCTGTTCGAACAGATAGAAAAAAAACGGACAGGACTCGCCGATTCGATTGAATTCGTATACAATATCGAGGGAAGGGAGCAAGCCGACAACTTGTGAGGAACAGAAAATGCAGCTACAGCAGGAAAAAAACACAGCGAAGGAAAAGGCGAAGATGGTACAAGTACAATAAACATTATGCATTTTTTACAACAAATGCAACAACAAATGCAACAACTAACGAAACAAATGCAACAGCAAATGCAACAGCAAACCCAACAACAAACGGAACAGATAGAATCAAAAATTGCTGAGAAAATACAGGGAAATCAACAACAAATGCAACAACAAAGCCAACAACAAATGTAGCAACAAACGGAACAAATGCAACAACAAATGCAAAAACAAACGGAACAGATAGAATCAAAAATTGACGAGAAAATTCAGGAAAAACAACGCATCCTGCGAACACATATAGACGAAACACATGAGCAATTGGATGCCAGAATAAATGCACAGGAAGAGAATGCAGACGCCTTGAAAAACGAAATAAAAGCCTTAAAAAAGAAGTGGCTAAGCTACAAACTAACGACATAACCGCCAGCTCTATCAAAGTCGAAACACCCCTATTTGGCGGCACCACTAACTTCAACGCATTCAAGCTACAATTTGGTGTTGTTGCAACAAAAAATATGGGGGGATGACGACGAGAAAGCAGTCGCGCTAATAGCTTCTTGAGAGAAGCAGCAGCGGAAATTATCCAGATAATTCCGGAAAAAAAGAACGGAATTCGCTGAAATTATGGGTGCATTGAAAAGGAAATATGATAGCAAACATGTGAAGGAGGTAAGCCATCTAGAGTTGTCTTCGCGCTGTCAGAAGCTGAACGAAAGGATCCAAGATTATGCTACCGAAATCGAACGCTTGGCCAATCTCGCGTGTATCGATGTGTCCAACGACGTATTGGAAAGATTAAAAATCGAGTCCTTTGTTAAAGGACTGCGCGACGCGGATGTTAAACGAGCTGCAAGGACTTCGCCGAAGACGACGTTTACGGAAACGCTTGGCTTCGCGCTTACACAAGAAGCAGCTAGGGTGCTGTGGACGTCAAGCACGAAAGTGAGACGTACGGAAGTTACCAGCGAGAACGATAATTTGGATGTGGTCTGCGCGGCACTTCGACAAGTCCTACGCGAAAATAAGCATATGTCGGCTTCAAAAACACGCAAGTGTTATGCCTGCCAAAAACCTGGTCATTTTGCACGGGACTGCCGATCCAAACACAAAAGGACACACTCCATATCACCTACACGGAATATTACTGAAGGTGCCAGCAAGATATCCAACGAACAGGCGTTAAAAAGAGTCAGCATAGCGGGGCAACGGCTGACTAAGAAATTTAGTAGCCCTAGGATCGTCATTACTGAAGCAAAGAGAAGTAGCAGCAGCCTAACGATCGATGGGAAGATCCAAGGCTGTAACCACATCACGCTGGACACTGGTGCCTCTCATTCAGTTACCAACAGTACAATTGTCAAAGAAAAATTCGACCCGTTAGTTGGAGCAAGGTCCCGAACGGCAACAGGTGAGGAAGCTGCTATTAAAAGTAAATTTATTAGAAACATTTCGACTAGCGACATTTCGATGAAGCATGAATTTCTGGTGGCAGATATAATGGACGAGGTAATATTGGGGATGGATTTTATGGGAAAACATGGCTTCGTACTAGATATGAAATGGCAAGTGTTACAATACGCTAATATGACTTTGCCATTGACTGTGGGATACGACAGACAAGCCGAAATATTACAAGCAATCCAAACTCAGAAGCAATAGCGTGGGCCACAGCTACCCAAGAGCTAAGGCTAAGTAAGATATGGGTTGTCGAGCCGAATAAAGAATGTATAAAAGACAACATCATCGTCAACAATCTAATACCAGTATTAAACCCAACCAGCGTTATAACAAAAGTTTACAAAGGGAAAATTATAACCCAATGCCGAAACGCCGAATATGTGGCAAATCACCAGGCCGAAATACCAAAAACATGTGCCAAAGATATCCCCAGAGGCTGAGATTCTTATAAAAAAATGGACTAGCGATCTAGATGAGCAGCAGAAGAAATATGCCAAAAGATTTTTACTTTTTGCCGGCAGTATGAATTTGAATGGCCGTACTAATGGACTGCAGGAGCTGGTCCGATTTGGCAACGGTCTAGAAGAATTCCACTGGCAAAAAGAGGAGAAGTGGCGGACTTGATTAAAGACATGCTAGAGCGAAAAGTTACCGAACCATCGAATAGCCAGTAGTTAATGTTAAAAAAAAAGATGGGTCTACCACATTTTGTGTGGATTACAGGAAGTTGAACGAAGTTACCAAGAAGGATAGCTAACCTTTGCCTAAGATCGACGACACCTTAGACACATTGCCCGGTTCGCAATGGTTCTCAACCTTAGATTTGAAGAGTGGGTACCGACAGGTGGAGGTCGTCGAACATGACAAGGAAAAGACCGCATTTTCGGCTGATGACGGTTTATATCAGTTTACCGTAATGCCATTTGGACTATGCAATGCGGCTGACACATTTGAGCGACTAATAGACTGCGTGCTAAAAAGGCTGAACTGGAAAACATGACTGGTGTATTTGGATGATATCATTGTCATGGGTAAAGATTTCAAGGAGCATCTAAAAAATCTGGCGAATGTTTTTCACCGATTACGGGCGGCAGGGTTAAAATTGACTATCGAAAAATGTATGTTCTTTTGGAAGGAAGTGACATATCTTGGGCACAAGGTCTCCACGACTGGAATTCATACGGATGAAGAGAAAATCCGAGCAGTAAAAGAATGGCTACGACCAAACAATTTGCATGAAGTTCGCAGTTTCCTAGGACTATGTACATACTATCGCAGATTCGTCCCCAGGTTCACCATGGTTACTAGCAGACTGCATGACTTTACGAAGAAAAATCAACCCTT